ACATCAATGCACACCCGAGTTTTAAGAAGGTATTATAATTAAAATCGCGCTTAAAGATTCTAACGCATTGTTATTTTGAGGAGGATGGTGAAATTTACTTACACAACCTTTCCAACTTTAGACGGTGAGATAATTATGCTACTAAGCACTTAAGGGTTCTAATTGATTAAAGCCAGTACTTCGTTGAATTTGAATTTGAACATCCAGGTAGAAATGCCGAGCAAATGGGCTCTGAGCCCCTAAGGCCCAAAATCATGCCATTGCACATGTTGCAGGCACAGGCCTTTAGAGCGCTAGGCATCGGGTATAAGGCAGGCCCAAAATTTTAACTTGCACGTACAGCCCAGGGATCGAATCCTTGGGCACCTTTTGATTTAACTAACTTCTCAAGCCTTAATGCACCTAGGCCCTAATTCGATTTATCACCTAACCAGAAATCTGGGCTACCTGCTAGTACGCCAGGCCCAAAACTGGCCCAGTATGAGGCTGTTGATTGTACAATTCCGGTTAGCCCAAAATTAAAAGCAGTCATGCGTATTGAACTCAAAATCAATTACAACTTTGCAGCTTAACTTCAGCAGACTGTGGAACTTAAACAAACTGAAAACTACAATCGCATAAACACGAAATGCACAGTCTAAACAGTCCACAGCCCTGATTACATACATGAATTTAAATACCAAAGTGCTCACTTACTAATTAAAATGATCAAACTCATGCTTGACAGTTCATCAGTCCCAATTATACAAACCAAACCAGGATTAATCTAGTACCTAGAGGACATGAGCGAGCTAACTGTTTTATATACTAAGTTTAAACAAAAAAAAACATGAAAAATTCAAAGATCAACTTCAGACAGCATGTTTACTTCAGTTCCATAAACTTGAGGGTTACAGAACAAGTACCTGGAAATTGAAATGAGAATAGACAAAAGGAGAGGAATCAGCTACTTTCAACAACAACATCAACAAACTCAGCAATGTTACACCACAGAAATACAGGTAGATGGCTTTGAAAACCAGAAATATAAGCAGACTTCCACAGATCAGTTTAGCATACTTCAAATACACCCCTGACCCTCACAGCTGCACCTAAGCACCTCTGTAATAAGGCTAAACCCAAAACCCAAAATTGAAATCCAAGACTAGTAATGAAACTGTGAAGTTGTTTCGGATTTCTCCATTTTTGATGTTTTTGTTTTCTGAATACTCTTAGAATTAAAATGCTAATTGAAATCAAAAGCAGGAATGAAAGCTCAAATTGAAACTCATGGCTGAAGGTAGAAGAAGAGACCAAAACCCCCTTTTCCCAAGGCATTTCATGCCCTTTTATAGGCAACCCCAAAGAGAATAGATCAGTTTCTGATTTTCCAATCAGTCCCTCCCTATTTTCAGTTTGGTCCCTCTATTCCTAACTTGCTAAACAAGTAAATTCCTTACATTTATTAAAATCTACACTTGTACCCCATTCTAGAAGGCCATAGGGTATTCCTCTACCCATACAATACCTATATTGCCCTTCCCTACATCTTGATATTACTATTCTCATCAGAATTACCCTTTTCCATACCCAGATTACCCCTAAAAACCCCTCAAAGTTACTGAACCTTCCCTCATCCTTAACAGCTATAACTAATACCCTAATTTAAATCTAAAACTAACTGAAATTAATTAATTAGTATTCAGAAACTAACTAA